TTGTATTTTTTTCCTTTGAATATCTTAAATATGTTACTGAACCTATTCTATTCTGGACCTGTAATCCCTACTGCAAAGCCACTCACAAGTCCAGTGTTCATCATTTCTGATTTTACAGACATGTATTCTTAAGGGGGAGGAATTTATAGAACTGAAAACCATGTGAATACCCTAGTCATGAGGTGGCTGATTTTGTCTCTCCAGGTAAGATGGTGCGGGTAGCGGGTGTGGTGGTCCAAGTGGCACACGCAGGAAGTCACAGGATGTGGGAGGCATTGTTGTGTGTGCCCTGTGCACAGAGTGTGTGATGCCCTTTGATGGGTTTGCAGCCTCATCTGGTGGACTTCCTGGCACAACCCTCCTTTAAGGTTGCTGCATCTGAAGCTCTTTAAGACGGCGTTTCCCTTCGGCCAGATTGCACTCTGTGCACAGTGCAGTTGCTTCTCCCTGTGGAGTGAGATGGGCCCCACATTGTCTGTGGCTCCACCTGGCCTTGGTGCTTATTGCTCTCTGCTCTGCTGCTCCCTTCATGTAACGAGGGTGTGTTAAGAGTCTGTAAGTGTGTTGTGTTAGATATTTAGGAAGGGAATGTTAATCCTAAAAATAGGTTTCCCATCTTTTAACTTACATAAAATTGACTGGACTTTTTCTTCTGGATTATCTTTTTATAATTAGAGACTAATAATACACTGATATGAAGTAGCTTTGTATTAGGAAAATGGATAAATGTAAACATTCGCCTACCAGGAGAAAATAATATGACCTGATTGGAAAATGTATGGATAAAAAGCTAGGTTTAGTAGGTAGCCATTGATGAACAGAGTAAGTTAAGACAACCATTGGGGATTGTTAGAGCAGAGATTGTAGCTCCCTTCTGAGGAGGAGCTGACCAAAATGTAGTCCAACTCCTGCTTGACAGAAGAGGTACAGCCAAACTGATCCAAAGGAAATGTCAGAGGAGGCCAGGTGGGGATTATCAACAACTGTATTTGAGGGTTTGTTCCACTTTGTTTTGGTTTTGGTGAAATTATCACATTTTGCATGTTATATTACCTTGGCACTTGGAATCATGGCATTTATGCTGAGATTTTTTCTCCCTGACGTCTCTTCTGTTTGATAGCATGTATGTACCTTTCATAATCAATATCAAACTGAAGTAACTTAAAAAGATAGATAATTGTATTCATTTTCTAGGGTTCCATAACCACAAACTCAGTGGCTTAAAACCACAGAAATGTCTGTCCTCACAGTTCTGGAGGCCACAAATCCAAAATCAAGGGCTTGGCAGGGTTGCTTCCTAATGGCAACTCAGGCAAGTTGAGTTTCTGAGTATGTATTATTTTTTACTACATGTAGTATAGTACTTTAATAATTATTAAAACTTAAGTCATTCACAAATATCATTTTTCTTACTGGTAATAAAAGTTTTCTGACATATCTTACAGCAATATAGTTAAGAACTGATGCCCTTGATTAGCAGTTTTAAAAACCAGAGGCTTACCCTAGCCTGTCTTACTTTCCTAGACTTGTGTGGAAATGATTTGAAGATAATGGCCCATAACACCACATTCCTGTAAAGCCTGTGCTTAGAACCCTAGAGTGGTCTGGGAGATGAAGATTAAGACCTTGTTGTCCATCTCTTAGGGAAAATACCATCAGAGGAAGATGCAAATCTTGTTATAGGTCATCACGAGAATGAGGATTATAATGTATAGAAATTGGGGCTTAATTATGGGAAATAGTTCTGTTCTTGGCTCTAGTTTACTTCTGTTTGGAGTTGTTTTGTTGATTCTTCTCTATTCTCTTCTCTTCCTTTTCTTGAGTGGAAAGGAACTTGGGAAAGTCATGCGCTGACCTTGGGTTGTCAGAGGAAACTTGGAATGTCATTGCCTTTTGGGCACATTTGCAAGCAAGGGGGTGACATATGCTGTGGTGTGGCCTGGGTGTGGGGAGTTGAGGGCTGTTAGCTCCATCATTCAGACATGTTTTAAGTTTATGGAAACTCTGTGTTTCTTACAAGTGCGTTTGTACCTTGTATTTTCAGCTTGTGTTGTATGAGGTTCTATTCTTTGTTTTTAACACTTCCCGCCCCCACCCCATCCCTCCGACATGCACCTCAGACAGCATGAACAAGACAAGCTGCTACTTCCTCTCCTCTCTTACACACTGTCTCTTTATCTTTAATTACAACAAAATACACATAGCATAAAATTGCCTTCCTAACCATTTGTAAATGTACGAGTTCAGTGCTGTTAAGTACCTTCACGTTATTGTGCAACCGTTACTACCATCCATCTCTGGAACTTTTTCATCTTCCCAAACTGAAACTCTGTCCCCATTAAGTGCTAACTTTTCATTCTCCAGCACCCCCAGACCTAGTAACTGGCTTTCTACTTTCTGTCTGTATGATTTGACTTTTCTGAGTACCTCATATAAGTCACTGTCCTTTTGTGACTGTCTTATCTCACTCAGCATAATGTCCTCAAGTTTCAGCCCTGTTGTAGCATGTGTCAGCATTTCCTTTTTCAGACTGAATAATATTCCATGTTGTGTATAGTGTACACCACAGTTTGTTTATTCGGCCACTGATGGACATGTGGGTTGTTTCCATGTTTAGCTGTTGCAAGTAATACTGCTGTGAACGTGGGTATACAGGTATCTTTCCTTCTCTGCTGGGTGTACAGGTATCCTTCATTCTCCGCTTTCGGTTCTTTTGAAAATATACCCAGAAGTGAAATTGCTGGATCATATGGTAATTGTATGTTTAGTTTTTTGAAGAACCTCCATACTGTTTCCTGTAGCAGCTATACCATCCTCCATTTCCACCAACACTGCACGAGGGATCCAGTTTCTCCACATCCCTGTCAACACTTGTTACTTTCTTTCTTTCTTTCTTTTAATTTGCCAGTAGCCTCATAATGAGTGTGAGGTAGTATCTCATTGTAGTGTTAATTTGCATTTACCTAACAATTTGTGATATGGAGCATCTTTTCATGGGCTTGTTGGCTGTTGTATCTCTTCTTTGGAGAAATGTCTGTTGAAGGTGTTTGACATTTTTTAATCAAATTGTTGGGCAGTTTCCCTTGTTTTTAAGTCAGAGTAGGTGATGTTTGTCTTGCTCATGAAACAAAGGTTATAAAAAAAGAACATGTTTGCTATGAAATGTAGTTGATACATGCGGAATGGAAAGATTTATAAATTAAATACTCCTTTATTAACATTTTAATGTGTTGAATTTAAATTTCAGAAGCATTCATCTTTCTTCTCTACTTGTACATTTTTGTTTACCTGACAGTGTAAAACCCACAACCCCAAAATAATGGCTTTTTCCCCGTTTAAAATACTTTGTAAAAATAGTAGCCTAGTTACTGGTTTCTCTAAAGTAGCCATTTTCCCTTGGTTGTCATTTGTGAGCCCAGGGTTAGTCCTCAAGTCTAACATAGACTCCTCAAGGCCTTAACACTGAAGTTCTCTGAGCCCTACCACTGCCCATGTGGGCCCAAGAAGTGTCCCAGCAGTGCCCAAGAAGGTCACCTCCACCTGTGGAATCCACAGTGTGGGTAGCCCCCAGGGAGCCACAGCCATCTAGACCCAGATTCACAGGAGGACGCGGTTACTGCAAGTATCTGAACCTGGCCCCACCACCTATGGGCAGAATTGATTCCAGCTCAGTGGTCCATGGGACGTCTTTAGGTTCACCGTGCTTTTTTGTCCCACACTCAGTGTTGGAGCTCAGCTGCATGGAGTGTCCTTCTCCCTGTACCTGTGAGATTAGTCAGCAGTCCTTTCTCCTTCCGTATGCTGTCTTTATTTCTGCGACACTATTTCTGGAGAACATTGTATCTGTGCTTTTCCTTTGATATGTTTGTAATTTTCATTAGAAAAGCCCTTTTAGATTCTAAAGCTTCTACATTCAGTATTTCAATCAATGATAACAAACTGGTATAAGACTAAATATGAAATGCAAACATCAACACATTTCTATAAATTGGTGTTATAATGTCTGCTACAAAAAGTTCAGTTGTTTGTATGTTTTTCAAATGCGCTTTGCTTGTCTTGATGATTTACAACTGTTGGCACTGCTGTGTAAGTCTGTTCTGACAGTGAGAAATCGACTCATTTGGCCAAGTCAGCTGTTTTTACTAAAAGTGAATACTGGTGAGTAGAAAGGAGCTTGTATACAATTTTCTTGTCAAAGAACAAGGAGCGGGAAATAAGCAATTTTAGTTCCTTGGATTTGAGCATCACTCTCGCATGCCTCCACCAACCAGCTTGTCTCCACAGAGCTTCCTTCCTCACTTTAGACTGAAAATCTGTTATCAGTGTGTGGAAAATAAAAATTTTACACATCTTTAGTTTTGAAGATATGGATTATTACTATTTACAGGTTTTTTTTTTTTTCACTATAAGGAAGAAATTTTTTAAAAAGTAAAAGGTGTTCACATTGTCTAGTTATTGCCTTATGATTTGATTTTCTTGTTTCACGAAGAAGAAAAACTTTTAATTAAATGTGTTTAAATAGTAAAAATATACATGTCACTTCTCCTGGTTCCACTTAAATGTATTAACATGTATTTGGTTGGTGCTTAATAAAAAAATGTTCAGCGAATAATTAACTTCAGCTAAACCCTTAAAAATATAGGGAGTAAACAGAAATATTGAGTGGTTACTCAGCATGGGGTAAGGGATACAGCAAGTCATTGGTCAGTATCGGGTATCATCATATTCTTACCATCTTTTTTTCTGGAGTTTTAGTAGTTGTTTTTAAAAAATCTCTATGTTTTAATAAAGCATTTCGATGTTTGAAACTACCTTGGATATTCTCAAAGAACCAGGACACATCTTATTTCTCAAAATGAAAAAAAAAAGTATTAGACATTACCCTTGTAATTTCAAGCCCACAATCTGTCACTTTGAAGTGTTTGTATCGTTTTACAAAAGAAAAGCCAAATGAAGATACCCCTGAAAAAATATTTTAATAGAATATATCTTTATTTCAGTATCTTAAATAGTGAAGATGGAGAAATATTCAATAATGAAGAGCATGAATATGCATCCAAAAAAAGGAAAAAGGACCATTTTAGAAATGACACAAATACTCAAAGTAAGATCATTCTCATTAATTTTATTTTGTCGATCATGTTGAAATACTAAATTGCTCTGACAATGCTACCGTATGAAATAAAAGGTGACACAGATATGTAAGTAGCAGCCCAGTGTCCAGCGTCACCCACTCATTTACTGGTCAGACTTTTTGCGGCTTAACCGTTCCAGTGGGTAAGATGTGCAAAAACAAAGTAAGAGATGGCACAACCCACAAAACCGCCATGCATATGATCTTGAATTCAACTCATTCTTGAGCAGTGAGGCCAAACTGAGGGGTGTCCTGACTTGAGTTTCGAAGCGACTGAAGATTCAGAGCAGGAGACAGACATTCAGAGCTGTAGTTTAGGATGTTAGATGGCAGCAGGGGAAGGCTGGAGGTGGGACCTGTCTGTGAGAGGGCGTAGGGCTCTATCATGGCCTTGCCTTGCAGCATATCGTGAGTTACCAAGACACATGTTCGTCTATAGTAGGCTCCCTTACCTCAGGGGAGAGACCTTCAGTGGATGCCTGAAACTGTGGATAGTACCGAACCTTATGGATACTATGGATTTTTTTCTGTATATACACACTTATAATAAAGTTTAATTTATAAATTAGGCACAGCAAGAGATTAACAACAATAATAAAATGAAACAGTTATAGCAAGATGGCCGCCATCGCTCCTCTTGCACTTTGGGGCCATTATGAAGTATGATAAGGGTTTTCTAAACACAAGCACTGCGATACCTCAACAGTTGATCCGATAACCAAGACGGCTACTGAGTGATCAAGGGGCAGGTAGTGTAGGACTCGCTTGACAAAGGGAGGATTCCCATCCCAGTCAGGACAAAGCAGGACAGTGTGAGATTTCATGACACCACCCAGAACGGCACAGAACTTAAAACTTAGGAACGGTTTATTTCTGGAATTTTCCATTTAATGTTTTCAAGCCAAAACTGACTGTGGGTAATTGAAACTGTAGAAGGTGAAACTGTGAATATGGGGGAGACTACTTTATGAAGAAGATAGGGTCACATGGAGAATACAGTTAGTGTGATTCTTGAAACTTTAAGATTTATCTGAAAAATGTGTTTCTGTGGAGTACCATACAGAGCAATAGAAGAATAGAACTTTTTATTAGGGTACGTAGGAATTTAGTAATGTAATTGCATTTTATAATCATTTATGTCTTCATATGGCTTCAGTTGTTAATAATACTAATTTTCTTCTAAGTTACTAGGACTTGGTACTGTCTGAAATCATTGTTCATATCTTAAACTGATTTAAGAAACAAGGCAATTCTGTTTGCATTGAACCAAGTAAAAGCATTTCTTGTGAATATAGTAAGATAATTTGTTAACATGTCCAATTATTTAAATTCCTTTAAAATCTTCATTTTTGAAATGATTTGCCAGATTTAAAAAACCAAGTTAATTTTTATTATAGGTTTTTATCGTGAAAAATGGATCTACGTCCATAAAGAAAGCACAAAAGAAGTAAGTATTCTTTTATAAATAAGAGAGTATCTTGGATTGTTTCTGTTCAATGTGGAGTCACATTAAATACATTTATTAATAAAGTTGCATAAAACACATTTCTTTTGCAATGATCTATGGTTCAAATTCTGACAGATAATAGCATATGAGGAGCTTTTGAGGTAGTGATTCTCCATTGTGTGTGCTTGCATGTGCGTGTGGTATGTGACTGTATTTGTGCGTACATTGGTGTGTGTTGTATATATGGTGTGTATGTATGGTTGTGCATGTATTTGCACACATTGGTGTGTGGGATGTATGGTGTGTGTTAGCATGTGGTATATGTGTGCAGTGTGTGGTTCCTGCCTACCTGTACATATCTGAGTCAGCAGCAGGCCTATTTAAACCAAGCATGGACTCCTGCAGTCATACGCATTTTCTCTGTGTTAGCATGAACCTCTGATGCTGATGGGCGTGTGTCCTCCCTGTGGCATGTTTTGGAGCGTAGGACATCTGTGAGCCCCCTCATTCCACGTAAAGAGTGGCTAACATGAAATTAGTAATTGGGTTGGGTTTGCGCAGAGCCGTGTGAACTCCTTCCCTGCCTTTCTTTTCCCAAGTTGGGCTAAAGCTTTTTCATGAGCCATAAGACAAACCAGAGAGCTTCAAGCTGTTTCCTGTTTCTTTACTAGGATCAGGGAAGTTGTGTTCCTTTTATAGTCCTGGAAACTCTGCATTTGCTTTATTTTGCAACAATTGGGGAAAATAATTTAGGGAACTATTGTCTATCATCTGTTTTTTTAGGGTAAGTTAAATATTCCAGAAATGTTTATAGATGCTCTGAAGCTAGTCCAGCTTCCTAGAAACTGAAGGATTAGATTCTGAGAAAGAAAACTTAATCTATTCGGTTATGGTTAGTGGGTATAGAATAAATCAGATCCTTAATATACACTCTAATATACCATTAGAAGATTGTTTGACAGAATCTAACCTAGTTTTTAAACAACGAAATTTAGTGCTCATGAAAGACCATTAAATATTTCATCTGCTCTGTTGCCATCCTGATTACAGAGCAGAGGATTCCATCCAAGCTAGCATGTGCAGGAAAAGAGGATCTTATTGTGAGGCTATGGGAATGTTCCCTGGAATTCTAGGAACCAGGATCCTAGAACCAGGTTGAGAGGGACCAGAACTAGGACTGGGCGCTGGTGTCCCTGCACCATGTCATGTCTCCACACCGTCACCTGGTATAGAGCAAGTGCCTGCTGCTTATCCATGCTAGCTGGTGTCTCACCGCTCTGAGGTTACATGCTGTGGTTCTAGGTCCAGACATGCTCTTTGTGGTCTGCACTGTGAATCAGATTTAATTTTCAGTTGTGAGATGGGTGGTGACCTTGGAAAGTGCCTGCTGCACCATCATGTAGAATTAAGAAAGAGAAATAAAATAGGAATATCAACTGTGAGGGATTTCAGATAATTATCTATATCAAAATTAGCATTTCCTTTCCCCCAGAGTTCCCAGGAAAATGTTTTCTGCATAGCAGGCACTCAGTCAACATATTTGGATGTTTTAAATGAATTTCGTTGAGTTGTGCACACAGTAGGGCGATTGGGGTTGACGCACAGAAGCACTTGAGCCTCTGAGTATATCAGCTATCAGAGACAAAGGTGCTGTGACTCCAGCTGCTTTCTCTAGGACATCTCAAGTCACCTGTTTGGAATTTGAGATCGATCATCTCATGTTTTTTATTATTGTTCTCCAGCTTATTTATCTCTACAACTTTGAAATGAAAATCTGTAGATTTTAAATATTTCAAATATGGAGGATGGAAATGGAGTTTAAAATGACTTCTGAAACCTAATGTGCTAATCTACACAAACCAGTATAGGATAAGGGTGTATCATGGCAGAAAAACATCTAAGAGAATAGCAGCAGTGTTTACAGTACTGAAAATAAATTGTTTCATTTTCTTCCTTTGGTTCTTGGACCAGTTTTTTTGGTGTTTTGGGTTCTTGGCATCCGTGCTCCCAGCCTGAAAGCTGCCCATGGTCACAACCAGCACTTGCCTTCAGCCCTCTCCATCCCAGTGCTGGTTTTCAGAGGCACCTTCTTGTTGCCGAAGCGCCTCTCCCAGCTGTGATCCTTGTGGTTGAGCATACTTCCAACCTGGGCAGTGCATGCCTCCCCCGCAGAGAAATCCTGTGTTTCAACTGTATATTTGTAACACCTACATCCTTACAATGCAGCTAAGCACGTGATTTATGTATTTTTAGTTGCGTAGCCTAGAATAATCCAGTTTTTTTATGATCTTAGCCTTAACGTCATCCACACCCCAGTTTGTCCCCAGCAAAATAAACCAGCAAGATTTTTTTTTTTAATTTTCTATTATACTTTAAGTTCTAGGTTACATGTGCACACGTGCAGGTTTGTTACATATGTATACATGTGCCATGTTGGTGTGCTGCACCCATTAACTCATCATTTACATTAGGTATATCTCCTAATGCTGTCCCTGCCCCCTCCCCACACCCCACGACAGGCCCCGGTGTGTGATGTTCCTCTTCCTGTGTCCAAGTGTTCTCATTGCTCAATTCCCATCTATGTGTGAGAACATGCGGTGTTTGGTTTTCTGTTCTGCAAACCAGCAAGATATTTAATATACATTTTTCTTTGTCATTACTTCAGCGGGTGGTAAAAAATGTCAGTTAACGGTGTCTCAGTTATACATAAACAGCTTAAATTATTAGCATTGCTATAATTTTACTATTCTCTCATCTAAATCTAAAATCAGTCTTCAGGATAAAAACAAATGTCCTTTGCCAAAATGTTTTTTTAATTGCACAATTAATTGACATTAACTGCCAGTTCTTTTTGGCTGATTGACTAATTTTAACTTCTGTGTTGCTCTTCCAGAGGCATGGCTATTGCACCTTGGGAGAGGCCTTTAATCGGTTAGACTTCTCAAGTGCAATTCAAGATATCAGAAGGTTTAATTATGTGGTCAAAGTAAGTGTTCTACGTGAAAAACTACTTTGATGACTCTTTTGAACAATTATATTTTGAAGATTGTAAGTGTACAACGTTTAAGATGCTTTTGGCAGCTTGAAGTTGTGCCTGTTTGCTGCATGTAATCGAAAAACAGAAGGGAACAAGTTCAGGAGAAAACAGTGAGATTGGAGGATTTCTCCAGTGTTGGTGGCAGAGGTTGCAGAGCCTCAGTGGGAGCAAACAGTCATCTCCCTGTGGCTCTGTGGTTGCTGAGGATGCCACAAAGTGGTCCCCCGGGGGTTGCACCATGCATCTACGTACCGTGTCAGTGATAGAACGGTCATGGGATCTTTACCTGATGATTTCGCAAATGTTTTCTGCTTCACGTTTTTCACAAAGAATGAGCCTTACGTCACAGAGGAAGAAGTAGCTAATAGAAAACAGGAATTTCATACAAAATAGAATTCCACAAAAGCCTTATTGCATTAATGATATCCTTTTGGAAGAAACTTTTATCTTGGGCCACACTCAAAAAGAAAGGATCATAGCCATATATTCCATTTATTGTTTGCTTTTGTCTAAAGATTAATTACTATGTGATTTATGCACCTTCATTCTATGGATAAAATAGAAGCTATAGTTTATGAAGCTATTAATTTTGTGTTTCTAATGGTTCTGTGAGACATTGGAAAATGTTTCCTTTAATTGCTTTTAGACATTTAAAAGTGCTACTGGGAGGACAGAAAATTTAGGGAATTAAATAACTGTAAGTCTTAGATAATTTTATTTGTTATGTTTGGTTCTGAGCAGAATTTCCAGGGCTTCTTATGTAACTACTACTTACAACTCCTGTTGTGCTCCATTCTTCACTGAAGCCCAGCCAACACATGCAGGCTGGACTTCCCCGGTGTTTTCTGAGTCCTCCTTTAGATATTTACACGCTGGCCAGCAGGGTGTTCTCGATAGGTACCTTTCTTGTAGGTGATGGAATGCACATTTGACTCAGCCTTGTGGAAATTTTCAAGACTTAAGTAGGCAGGAAAAACATCAGCAGAGAGGTCTGTTTAGCAGTAACTATTTCTCCACGTAGCTCTCTGATAGTTCAGACCATACTGAGTTGCTTAATCCATCTGTCTACATAAAAGGATTTAATTCTTGGTGTGAGTGAGAGAGTAGGATGGGGCACAGGAGGAAGTCATTGGCTCCTGGTGATTTCTGTGCTGGGTGCCTGCTCTGTCATCTTTGGTCACTGACTCTGGAGAAGGTGCGAGTGTTTTGTGCTTTATCAGAGGGGGAGTCCATAGACCAGGGCCAGTATTTTACCAGTTTCAGTCATTTGAATGACTGCATGATTTTTTTTTGTCTGTGTACCACATACTACTATAATTTGCTAAGTAGCTTTTCTTCAAATTTACTTTTTTAAACAGAAATACCTACTTTAGCCTCATCCTAAACACTAATACCTGTGAAATGGTAAATTTTCTGTCGGTCGTTTGTCTAATACGTATAAAATAAATGCATAACTATAAAAATTAAAATGTGCTATGCACTCATGTACCAACTAAACTTACCTTGCAACTGTCTTGAGAAGGGCTGTGTTTCTCCAAACCACCTCTCAGAGGTGGAGCAAGGGAACTGGTGAGCCTAGGAAGCGAAAGGGCTGCATTGCTGCATGACTGTCCCAGCAGCCTCACAGGTCTGTGCATCTCTGTTGATTGCTGCCTTCGAAGCAGAGCCTTGCTTGGCTCATCTGTGTTCCTGCTCTGTGGGAATCCCACCTTCCCTCTCCTGCAGTCGCTCCAGACCTTTCACAAGTCCAGCAAAGTTACCTCTAAAAGGTGATTTGCTCATGCTTACCTTCTGCTAAAAACAAAAACAAGCAGCAGCCTTTGTGACTGTGGGAAAGCCTGAGCCTGTGTCTTGCCTTGGATTGAGCTCCTGCATGTCCCCATCCTAATTCTGCCCTCCCTGGCCCATGCCAGTACCCTCTTCCATTGGCTTTCTTTCAGTGTGTACTATTTTTTTTTTCACTTTATCAAGTGCATTTATCATGCATGCTGTGCAGGTATTTGGTATTTGTTTGCTGTTTTAAATGTTTATAGCAACACTTACTGCAACAACTGAGAGGATTCTGTTGGAGTTCTTCTAAATAATATGATTTTCCATAATTTAGGCTAAGTTGTCCATAATGTCACTCAGTATTATTAGAATACCTATAAACTAGAAACATAGAAGCATTTTTTTGAAATGCTTAATAAAAGGTTTCCTTTTTTTCTAACAGCATTTAGTAATATCTGTCCTTAAGAATTTGTGTGCAAAACTTAATATGTATCTTTTTTGTTTTTTTTTGTTTTGTTTTGTTTTTTTTTTAGGTGGAGTCTCACTCTGTTGCCCAGGGTGGAGTGCAGTGGTGTGATCTCTGCTCACTGCAACCTCTGCTTCCTGGGTTCAAGTGATTCTCCTGCCTCAGCCTCCTGAGTAGCTGGGATTACAGGCATGCACCATGATGCCTGGCTAATTCTTTTTTGTATTTTTAGTACAGATGGGGTTTCACCATGTTGGCCAGGCTGGTCTCAAACTCCTGACCTTAAGTGATGCACCTGCCTCGGCCTCCCAAAATGCTGGGATTACAGGTGTGAGCCACCATGCCCAGCCTGTATCTTTCAACTAACATTTTGTTTTATGTAAAATCATTTTGTCCATCTAAACTTACGAATTTTAAACTGAGACTAATCAATAATTACTAGTCTTAGGATAAAAGCTAGTATAGAATATAGTGTTCAATTACAGATTGTTTCAGTTGTCAAGGATACGTAGTTTGGAATGGAAATTTCATTTTTACTCTAATCTTTGAAGTTGAGTTTGAGCCAGGTGTGGTGTTAGAGGCATAAAATGGCCCCAGCTTTTGTTCACTGTCCAGGGGCAGATGCTCTTCACTCAAGGCAGGAGGAGCCCGTCAGTGTTGGCATCGCTGAGCACCTCCTGTGTGCAGATCAACGTACCTTGTCTTTTCTAACTAATCCTTTCAAGAAACTTTGAAATCCAGTTCTATTCACACTCCCACCATGAAATCTTGTTTGCCAGTGATCACAGGGTTTTGGCAATACCAACGCAAGCCTACCTGGCTGGGACCTTGGCCTCGCCACCCCCATCATATCAGCAGCACCTCCCTGGCCCTCAGGTGTGCCAGTGGTCACGTGTTTAAGTTGCCTGCATCCCCGTCTCAGTTGAGCCCCAGGAGCAGGGGCTTGGTTTGTTCACTGCTGTTCACCCACTGCTGAAAATAACACCCCGTTTGTCAAAGTGGAGTAAGTATGTCCCAGCTGCAGTGAGGAGCTGCACTTCCATGAGCTCGGAGGTGCCCAGCAAACCCAGGACGGCTGTAAACACAGAGAGGGAGACCAGTACCCAAAAGCTGTCTGGAGGAAGAAGAACTGGGTCCTGAGCCTGTAGGTTAATGTGGCTGTGGGTTTTACACATTTGTTGTCATTCCCTTGGAGTCCTGGGCTTGCTTATAGCACTGAGAAGAACAGCCTGCTCCCTCGCCCCACTGGCAGTCAGGAGGTGGCTTCTGACAGCCAGGCGCGAACAGCCCCAGGCTTGGGAGGTGCATGCAGGGCAGTGCACGGCATGAAAGCTTCCTGAAAGCTGCACGGTGTGCAACTGAAATTTATAAAAATGTTAAATATGCTGTGTTTGCTACACACATCGGTAGGAAAAACGTTTTCAGAATTGTAAAGTTTATATATCTAATTTTAGTTATTTGGTAAATTATCTGAAGTACTTCATTCTCTGCCTATGGCTGGACCAATTAGATAGTACATCCAGTGTCACATACTTTCAGGGGTAGAGTATTTTTAGTTTAGTGTCTTGCCACCATTTATCTTTATGTTTTCATTTGCTTTAGATGTAGGCAAAGAGTCGGTCACTGTTGTCTTTATTCAAAAATGTCTGTGTCCCTGGGCGTTGCTCTGCCCCTCCAAGACCCCCCAGTCCTGTTTCCTTTAGCCTGCCTGCTCCTCATGTCTGGAGACGGACTTCTGCTTCCCAGTATCCCAGGGATCTATTAAATGGGGAAAAGTGGCCGGGTGCAGTGACTCACACCTGCAATCCCAGCACTTTGGGAGGCCGAGGCAGGAGGCCAGCCTGGGCAACATAGGGAGACCCTGTTTTTACAGATAATAATAAGCAAGTAAGGAAAGACATCTCAGGCTAGAATCTCTGGCTATCTGAAGATTTTTTTTTTCAATTTTTTTCATAATTTCTGCTAATGACTACGCCATAGCAGCAAGTTAATAGCAGCAGTCTCACAGCAGCGCATGGGAAAGCTGCTCAGTGAGTGACCCTCAGCCCTCCCCGGTGTGGACTTGAGGGTGAGGCAGGGAGGGAGAGAGGCTCTGCAGCCACATGGCCGCTGTTGGAGTTCTCTCTCTTTCTTATTTATTTACTCAGGGATCTCAAGCATATGACTTCATTATCTCATCCATAGTATCTGGTAGATTTTAGCATCTGCCTCAGAGCACTGTTATAAAGATTAGATTATTCCATCATAGGAAGCTCTTAGAACAGTCTGTACTCTGTGTTAGCCACTATTTTTATTTTCTTTTGAGGAGGATTTAGGCAGAGGGATGACAGCTGCATGGAGATCCATTTATGACCCAAGAGGTAAAGATGAGAAAATGGGGCCCAGAGAGATGGGCTGAAGGTCACAATGGAATCAAGGACAGAGACCAAAAGTGCAGTCATCCTGACAGCCATGAAGAGCTTTTTCATTAAGATGTCATTTTCTAAGTCTATAAACTTTGATTTTCCTCTCATGTAAATTAAGTGACTTTCTTAAATGCGTCATGACTTTTTTTTTTCAATTTTTTTTTTTTTTTAATTTAAGTTCTGGGATACATGTACAGAATGTGCAGGTTTGTTACTTAGGTATACACATGCCATGGTGGTTTGCTGCACCCATCAACCCGTCATCTCCATTAGGTATTTCTCTTAATGCTATCCCTCCTCTAGCCCCC